GGCAAATCCTTCACATGAGTTTTTGATAAAGCAGCTCTGTCAAACAAGGACTGAATAAATCACGATGTGTTACCAAGAAACATTACAGCTTTTAAAACAACCACCATGGCATTCTACCCCACAGACCGATGAGCCAGGGGATGCCAGATCCCTGACGCTCCGCAGCCATGCTGGAGCCAGCACACATCTGGAGTGCAGTAAACGTACCCAGAAGCAAGAAAGCAGCTCTGTCAGGGTCAGGAGTACAGAGAGCGGCTGCTGACACCAGGCGCCACCCCAAAACCCACATGCATTTCCTTATGTAAACACATGTGGGCCAAGAGGCATCCGCAGTCACCTTTCTCCCAGGCAAAGCCCCATAAAACCGCCAGCGAAGTAGAGGAACAATGTCACTATTATTGTTTTAGTGAAATTCCTCCAAAAGTAAGAAAGCAAAGCTGGATTGCCTGGATATGCTATCTGAAGGAAAAGGAAGGGAAGGGAAGGGAAGGGAAGGGAAAAGAAAGGAAGGGAAGGGGAAAGGGAAGGGCGATGGGAAACGGAAAGGGGAGGGGAGGGGAGGGGAGGGGAGGGGAGGGGAGGAGAGGAGAGGAGAGGAGAGGAGGGGAGAGGGGAGAGGAGAGGAGGGGAGGGGGGAGGGAAGGGAAGGGAAAAGAAAGGAAGGGAAGGGAAAAGAAAAGAAGGGGAAGGGAGGGGGAAGGGAAGGGGGAAAGGAAAGGGAAGGGGAGGGGAGGAGAGGAGAGGAGAGAAAAGGGAAGGGGGGAAGGAGAGGAGAGGGGAGGGGAGGGGAGGGGAGGGGAGAGGGGAGGGAAGGGAAGGGATGGAAAGGGAAGGGAAGGGAAGCAGAGGGGTGGGGAAGGAAAGGGAAGGAAAGGAGAGGGGAGGGGAGGGGAGAGGGGAGGGAAGGGAAGCAGAGGGTAAGGGAAGGAAAGGAGAGGGGAGGGGAGGGGTGGGGAGGGTAGAGGAGAGGAGGGAAGGGAAGGGAAGCAGAGGGGAGGGGAAGGGAAGGGAAGGAAAAGAAAGGAAAGGAGAGGGGAGGGGAGATGAGGGGAGGGGAGGGAAGCAGAGGGGAAGGGAAGTAAAGGAGAGGGGAGGAAAGGAAAGGAAAGGAATTCTAAATCTTAGTCTATATTGCCATAAGTCCTGAGCACATTTCTTCTGTCCTCTTTGACCTATTTCAGAACGTGAATAACGAAAATATATTTTAAAAAATTTCCTTTCCCTTCTTGTATAACCCCTACCCCGAACCCCTCATAGGAGTTGGTTGAGAGTTTTCTGGTTTCTTTTTAGGTCTCCCATCTTATAAACATGAGTTTAAATTTTTTTGGTATTTCTACACTGGTGATGGAGAACTGAAATTACAAAATCCACTATGCTTGAGATCTGGTCAAGCTTCTGCTAAGAGCACCCTGCCTTTCCTCTGCTCTTTGGGAGAAAGAAGAAACAGGGCTCCAAAGAAGACCAAATTGTTTTTTTGTTTTTTTTAAAGTGTTTCAATCCACTCTTGGCTGTGGTCATATTTATTACTTGTTACATTCACCACCCATCCCAGATTAGAATAATAAAATCCTAGACTCGGAAGGACCACTGAGGTCATCAGGTTCAATCCCTTGCTAAGTGCAGGAATCCAAATGAACTCATCCTGTTAGCTGGCAATCTGCATTGTCCAGCTGGGAATGAAGGCCTTTAACCACAAAGGTGAGCCAACTCTGGCATAGGCCCCGGGATTCCTGAATTTTGTGTACTGTATGTTGTTTTGCAGCTCTCAACTTTGTCAGTAATGGGTAGTTCTGAAGTAGCCTTTTTACACTGAGTATGCGCCAATGAAAAAGGCCAAGTGCTCCTTTAAAAATGGCATTTTGTAGCTATGTCATATTTCTTTCCTTTATTGATGATTTCTGAGAAAAAGGCTGAAGGGATGGAGAATAGGGCCTAGGCAAGATCTTATTTCTTCTGTAGGAAGTGAAGGTTCAAAGCAGTGATAGTTTTCAAAAGCAAAATTACTCCTTAGAGGCAGTGGTGAAATTCAATTTTTTTACTACTAGTTCGGTGGGCATGGCTTGGTGGGCATGGTATGGCTTGGTGGGCGTGGCAGGGGAAGGATACTGCAAAATCCCCATTCCCTCCCCACTCCTGAGGGAAGGATATTGCAAAATCTCCATTCCCACCCCACTCTGGGGCCAGCCAGAGGTGATATTTGCCGGTTCTCCGAACTACTCAAAATTTCCGCTACCAGTTCTCCAGAACCTGTCAGAACCTACTGGATTTCACCCCTGCTTAGAGGGCAAATGACAAAGTGTACAGTGCAGCATCTTTCTTTTTAACACATGAGCACAAGGCACACTTTATGTCTTTTAGATAATCATGTTTCTTTTTACATAACCAATATCACTGCCACTGCAAAATCTAGTAGCTTTTTAAAATTTTTAGTAATATTTCATGGGCAAAGATGCACAAATTTAATCTCTCTCTCTCTCTCTCCCTCCCTCCCCCCCCTCTCTGTCTCAAAATAATTCAACCAATCCTGTTAACACCCACTGAGGAAGCACTTTTAGTGACTACTTTTAAAAAGCTTGAGAAAAATAGCATCTTTCTCTACCTTCTCGGCTCTATTCTTATACACAAACCTATTTTTTTTAAAAGCTGCAAACAAAACAACGTGCACAATTTTACAAGACACAACTACAAGCAACAGAACTTGAAAATAAGCCACAAGGAAAGAAAAGGCCACTTCTGCAATTCAGACTGGAACTATATAAGCAAATAACAATATTTTGGTACCATGTAGGAAGAGTTAATGCATATTACCCAAAGCCTCACACTAAATACGTCTTTCTCTGTGGTGTGGTTGTACTAGTGTGTGCACGCTTAATCATTAGGAGGAGGAATGAATGAGAAGAGAGAAGAGAGAAGAAGGGAAGAGATGTGATGGTCTCTTCTATGCTTCAGATCAGGGGTCTCCAACCTTGGCAACTTTAAGCCTGGTGGACTTCAACTCCCAGAATTCCCCAGCCAGTAAAGCAGCTGGGGAATTCTGGGAATTTAAATCCTCCAGGCTTAAAGTTGTCAAGGTTGGAGACCCCTGCTTCAGATGGTTCTCTTTTCTCCAGGAATATTCATCCTGGGAGTTTTTTTTTAAAAAAATCAAAATGGTGGACATGACCACAGGGCTTTGACAGTGTGGTTGCAACTGCCACAGTGACTTTTTTCCTTCCCTCCTATGGAAGCTTTGTCTTTGTATGGTTGCAAAGCAAGGCCATTTTACAAGGAACAAATGGTCTAACTTGCTCCTTCCTTTGTTTGTTCAAGTATTTATGCCCCCTTCAACAAAGGATTCGAAGCCATTGATGATCAATAAAACTACAAAACAAAATCACATCTAGTATGACCAACTCAGACAGCTCTTAAACCACCAGTATCCATACTCCCTGAAGAACAATCATGTTTTTTAAAGTATTTGTAAAGGCTGGGAAGTTGGGGAAGCCATCCGTATTATGGTTTTGTTTTTCAAATGACCAGAAAGACAAATTCTTTTCATTCAAAGCTTTAAAATGATTCATTTAAAACACAATCCCATGAATGAGGACAGAATGTTGAGCCTCCCCACATCTCCAACAAAGCTGTCTTGAGCAACCAGGCCACTGGCTTCAATTAACACAAAACAATACTGTACAGACAAAAAAAAAAATTACATTGAGATTGCCTATGGGGAAAGGTAAGAGATGTAGAAATAAATTTTCTTTCTCGGAACCTCTGATGGTCTTCAAATACATTTTTACTTTCAAACACACCTTGTGTACAAACACACCTTGCCAGACTGAAGGAATAGCAGATTAAGAGTTAAAATCCTTCACATCCCCTTTTTCATTTTAAAACCCCTACACTCCTGGTTTCTTTCTTTCTTTCTTTCTTTCTTTCTTTCTTTCTTTCTTTCTTT